TAGGAAATAGATTGTCTGATTTTGATGCTGGTTATTTCCGTGAATTATTGTCTATTGCTATTATGTAGCATGATATGCCATTTCAGTTTGTAGAGTTCAAGGGTTTTAGGAGATGTTTTAATTATTTGCATCCTGATTTCAAACCTGTCACTCAAAATACTATCAAATCTGATGTGCTTAAGATGTATAAAAGAGAGAGAAAGAGAAATTAAAGGCGGTTTTGGGCTCAACTTGTAGTAGAATTGCATTGACTTCAGATTGTTGGACTTCTATAACCACCGATGGTTATATATCATTAACAACTCATTATGTTGATAAGTCTTGGTGTTTGCAAAAAAAAGATCTTAAACTTTTCTTACATTGGTCCTCCTCATACAGGAATTCATTTATGTGATCATGTGTATGGTTTGTTAAAGGAATGGGGTATTCAGAAAAATATTTTTTCAATTACATTAGATAATGCTTCTTCAAATGATGTTTTTGCTGAAAATCTAAAAGGGGAACTTGAGTTGATCAGTGGTGGGGAATTTTTTCATGTAAGGTATTGTGCTCACATTCTTAATTTAATTGTTCAAGATGGTTTAGAAGAGATTGATGAGGCTGTGTATAAGATTAGATAGAGTGCCAAGTATTGTAAGAGTTCATAAGGTAGGAAACAAAGGTTTTTAAGTTGTGTATCACATGTTGAAATTCAATCTACTAGAATTTTACAACAAGATGTTCCTACTAGATGGAATTCAACTTACATGATGCTTAATTGTGCTTTGTATTTTAAAAAAGCTTTAATTCATTTTCAAAAAGTTGATGCCAATTATGTGCATTGTCCTTCTGCGGAAGAATGGGGTAGAATTGAGAAAATATGCAAGTTTTTGAAAGTTTTCCATGATGTCACACTTGCCTTTTCCGGGACCAAATATCCAACTTCCAATCTTTACTTTCATAGAGGCTTACAGGTTAGGTTGTTGTTACAAAATGAAATGAAAAGTTCAGATCTTTTTATGCAAAGAATGGCTTGTAAGATGTATGAGAAATTTGGAAAATATTGGTCAGAATTTAGTACATTTATGGCTGTTGCTGTGGTGTTGGATCCACGATATAAGTTGCAATGTGCCAATTGGGGTTACATGAGGATATGTGGTCAGCATAGTATTGAATATGAGCTTGAGTTCTCTAAGGTTAAGGATGCTCTACGGAGGTTGTACGAGGCTTATGAATCCTCTCATTCTTCATCAAGCAAAGCTATTCCCACTACTAATGCTTCCAATGAAGCTTCTGATGATTTTATGATGGTAAATAACTTTCTGATGCATTGACCTTTATTGCAAGTGAAACAAATGCCAAGTTTTAATGATTGAGTAGCAAATCCTGATATAACTCAGCAGCTTTTAGTTTGCATCTTTATTGTATAATCTGTAATCTGATTTTTATTTTCTGATTTTTTGTGTCATGCTACTCATAACTCATGTAATCTAATCTTGGTGTATAGGATTTTTATAGTTTCTCTATGGAGCAATCAAGTGTGGCAATCAAATCTGAAATTGATATGTATTATGAGGAGCCACTTATCCCTCGAGGCACCAACCTTGATGTTTTGTCTTATTGGAGAACTTGTTCGGCCCGTTATCCTATATTAGCTAAAATTGTTAAGGATGTTCTTGCTGTCCCCGTATCAACCGTGGCCTCCGAATCAGCTTTTAGTACTAGAAGTCGGGTGCTTGATTGTTATAGAAGTTCTTTAAAATCAGAAACGGTGAAAGCTATCATTTGCTTAAGGGATTGGGCCTTTGGGGAAGGTAATAAATAATTTTTTATACAAGTAATGAAGTAATACAATACTTCTAACTTTTATTTTTAGTACATGTCATATATTATTGATTGTAATTTGCTATTGTTTTTCTTGTAGCAAATATGGATCCTCAAATGGAAATGCTATGTGGATCAGTTATGAAGCTTAAGGTGGGGGACAACGATGACAGTCATGACACACCACGTACCTCGCCCGAACTTGAACAATTTGATGAGAATGCTTCTTCGAACATTGTTTGGCTCATGAAGACAATTTCTGATTTTTTAAAAACATTTATTTCTTTTTGTAATTTGTTTAAGACTAATTTTGTTATGTAATAGTTAATTAGGCATTTAGACTTGTTAGACTTTATTTGGTTTTCTACTTTTCTTGAAACCTTTAAGTTTGGAAATCATGTTTGAAAACATTAGGTAAAAAAAAAATTCAGGTTTTGTTAACTGGTAAGTAGTAAAAAACTCAAAATCAGGCTGAAAAATCAGGTCATTCAGGTCAAAAGAAAATTTTTAAAAAAAATTACAAAATCAAGTCAAATCAGGTCGTTTTCAGGTTGACCCGAACCTGAAAATATCAGGTTCAGGTTGGGGTTTTCAACCCGAAAACTAGAATGGATCAGGTTCAGGTTGGGGTTTAGCTGACACGAAACCCAAAAACCCGAACACGAACACGAACCCGACCTGACCTGATCCGTTTGCCACCCCTACTTTTGGCACTAGTAACCGGTGACCAAACACTAAATAACGAGCGCTGATATACACAATAATCGTATTTCACAAATTTGGTGTTGAGGCTTAATTTTATACAAAATACTCCCTTAGTCCCTTATTTTTTGCCCCATTCGACTTTTTACGGTATTTAAGACGCGTCTTCAAACGTATATATCTCCATTTCTATATGCGTAATAATTATTATTAAAAATTGATATTAATAAACTATGCAATGAGAAGATTCTAACAAGACGCACATGAATATATTATCACTTATAGATTAACGAAAATTCATGGTCAAAATTTTAAAAGTTTCACCCATATTTTTGCAATGGGGCTAAAATTAAGGGATGGAGGGAGTAGCTGTCATTTTTATCATCTACAGTATAAAGTATTGACTCGGAACTTTATTTTCAAAGTTTGAGTTTAAAGGTTCAAGTGTTCAACCATAATGCCGGACATGTTATATTTTCAAATCCGTCGTTAACACCATAACAAGTTTGACGGTGAAATTAATAAATTTTCCAATGAGATGAATAGCGAATCACAAGTGAATTTTTTTATTACAATGCTTTTTCTGTGTGGCTGGCCACACCGTGTGGTTGGCCACACCGTGTGGTCGACCACACCGTGTGGTCGACCACACCGTGTGGTCGACCACACCGTGACTTATAAGGGTTACTTATTCAGGGGTTACTCAGTCGGTCAAGGGTTACTTATACTGGAGTTACCCAGTCGGTTAGCGCATTTTCGTCGGGGTTACTTATTTAGGGGTTAATCAATTGGTCAGGGGTTACTTATTCTAAATATACTCAGTCGGTTAGCGTGTTCTGTGTGAGAGTAACCACTGACCGACCGAGTAACCCTTGAATAAGTAACCCCTAACCGACCGAGTAACCCCTGAATAAGTAACCGTAGAATAAGTAACCCCGGCTATACGGTGTGACTAGCCACATATAAAAATTTGTGTTTTTATTATCATTCTCTATTCTCACATGTTAGTCACCCTTAATCTACAATTTGAAGAGGTGAGTGTCAATCTATCATCCTCATTGGACCCAACCGTACCGCTTCTTGACTTCATACAAGAGATCGTAAATATTGGGCTACTTGCTATAAGGAGATATTTAAATTCACTACATCTTGCGTTCTTAAGTCAATGGATACTCCTAACCTCCATTGTTGAATTTTGGAGGGTGGTAATTATCGGTGAAAAGTTCCATTTTTTATTCACTGCGTGTTTTTTCTTTTATTTTTCTCCTAGCTAGGATCATGTTTTTCTTCTCTCTTTTAAGGGTGAATTTGCTTTTTTGTTTGATGGATTGCGATAGACTTGTTTCATGGGTAAGATTTGTGCGAGATCGAAAAAGAGGTTAATCTTTCAATTACAATCAGACCAATTAGACGGAAATTTTCTTTACGGCTACAACAGATCGATAGACCCCCTCGCTGAAGAAAGTTATAAACTACAGCTATGTTAAAGAGGGTATGAAGGATGTACAATTTGTAATAACAATAGATCATGGCTTTGCTGAAAGGATTATTTTATTTGATTCAATTATTATGCATTTGATAGATATAAATCTCTTTGTAGATGTCGTATGACTTTATTTATATATCAATCTTTATTCTAAAAAAAAAATATAAAAAAAATCCAATGAATACTCCTTTATTATAAATCTTCGCAGAGCTACGATCGTTGTTGCAAATCGTACATTTTTCATACCCTCTTTCATCGTTGTGATTTACAGCCTTTTTCGACGATAGGGTCTATCAATCTATTGTAGTTGTGAAGAAAATTTTCGTTTGATTCATCTGATTGTAATCGAATGATTAACCTCTTTTTCGATCTCACAGAAATCCCCGTGAAACAACGTGTGCCATACTAAACTCAAAAAACATATATAAAATTGGAACAAAGCCTACCATAGGAACACTTACTGCACTCAAACCCTTTATTAGGGTGCTTACTACCTTCAAAGAGTGTAGTTTTATTGAATTTAATAACAAAAACATAAAGAAACTATAGGGAAAGGGTTGGAGAAATTTGGCTGTTTCCAACCTATAAAACACTTAAAGAACCCTAGAGAAAGAAAAATAGAGAGGAGACGACTAACCGACTAGGGTTTTTAACTTTTTGAGATGAGAGTAATATTTTATTATTATTATATATTTTATAAATAATTAAAGATATAAAATCTGTATCAAAAGTACAATTTATTATCTCTCCCAAAGTACCATTTATTCTCTCCATCTCAAAGTACTACCTCCACTACAATGTATAACTTTTGAATTTTTATATCTCATAATAATGCAATGTGAAATCATGTTGAACTCGTCACATTGTATTAGAAACGGAGGGGGTACTCCGTGATATAATACCCAAAAGTTATACTTCGTACATAGTATGTAACGGTGTAACGGAGGTAGTAATTAACACGTTTTACGGAGGGAGTATTTAATCAGGCACGAGTCCCCTAATGAGGAGTCAGGAATTTGGTAAAGAGTGACAAAAGTGAGTCTTTCAGTAGCTGTGACTTTCTTAAATCTCGTCTTTCAGTACTTGTCTTATTATCCGTCCTCAATTCCTCAAATGGAGTCGGTAGGAAAATTGTACGATTAAGAGAGAGAATACTCAAATTTCTCCAGAAAACTTATCGATTCAGATCAACAACTACTACTACAAATTCAAATGAAATGATGTTCATGGATCTGAATGAGTTAAGAAAGCGATTTTCACCTTCAAAACCCCAAATCTCAGACGCCATTGATGCTTCTCGAGCTCAAGTTCCTCGTCCTATGGCTTCCTCCTTCAACTTCATTGCTGCTAATGTCACCAAAACTTTCGCTGCTCTTCTCATTATTCTCCCTGTTTTGATCACTTTCTTTCTCATCTATCGTAACCCCAATTCCGATCATCGATTTTCCCCTTTTGCTGATGCTAGGGTTTTGGATCCTAAATCTTCGTTTACTACTTCGCAATCATCAGGTTAACTTTCTCTTTCTTCCTCTTTTCTTAATTATTTTCACCTTTTGTGATCAGATATAGTGCTTTTCTTGTAATTATTATTGTTGCTTTTTGCTTCATTTTGATTTGATGAACTTGGGTCTTTCTCAGAGTTGACTTTTTTATTTTTATTTTTCTGGGGTTGTAGAATTTTTTGGGGATTTTGATAATGTATGTAAGTTTAAGATGTGGGTGATTCATGCATTTTGGATCAGTGATTATTTCAATATTTAAGGACGTTATTTGATGTGATTTTGCATAAGCTTGTTGTCTTCAATTATTGCTTACTTTGGTTTGATCTCTTTTAGAAATCGGTTTGTTTGTATGGATCTTCTTTCTCTAGTAGAAGATCAATACGTATGATAGTATTAGTAGTTTAATTGATTGGGTTGAAACTTAAATTTTGCTTTGTACTGAGTAGTTGTATATGGATTTTGGTAGCTAGAACGAAGATGAAGACAATGCTTGAATTTGTATATAGAGCAACTGTTGAAGGGTATTGTCCATGTTTCGTTATTGAGGGTTCAGGGTGGGGTGGGGAGAAATTAGGGATTATTGGCACCACTTTTTACTGAGAAGAAGTGATGAATGATAGTAATTTCATATTTGCAGTCCAATTTGACCAATGCAGCCCACTATGAAGTATTATAACTCATTTATACAGATGGGTAACATGGGTTACATTTTTTTCCCGTCTTTTCGGAAAATTCATAAAGTTAGCTTTGTGATGTTCGATACACTGTAAGGAATGTCCACTAAGGCCATGATTGGACTGAAGGAAATCATTCAAGGGGTAAAGGGGTCTTTTAATCAATGAGGTGGTGAATTGGTGGAGTTGGTGGTGCTTGAAGGAATAGATATTAATGTGGGAGCTGTTATTCTTGTAACCGTTCATTTCAGCAATAATCTCCTACCTTTTTTTCCCTCTTCATATCCCTTCCACCAAATACTATCAACCACCTTCACCTTTATCCATTTACAGTCTTTCTATTTAATTCCTATTACCACCTTAATGATTTATGCATTCCATGCAAGCCCTAACTATGTATTACGTCTGGTATCTTTTTGCCCCTTTGTAAGGCATTTGTAAGGTTAAAGCTTTCTTAGTCCAGTTAGCTGACACACAAAGGTGTGTGTTGTCTGTTCATGCTATCTCACACTACCCTAAGCTATTATAGCTGATATCCCTACTCTGAGAGGCATTGCATTGGGAGGAACCTAGAAGGTGGAAAGATCCAGGGTAGGCCAGTTGATTTTATTGGTCTTTCCCTTAAACCATAGGCTTTCATTACAGCTGGCATTGCCATAGTGCCATACTCATCGAGAGGAAGCTGGATGATGATAGAGCCTTGAGAAGCCAGGTGATTTGATAGAAATGAAAGGTTCTCCCCTAGAAATCATTGGATTTGAATATGTACTTTGCACTATGGCTGGCAGCAGCCTTTTAGCAATCTTTCTTTAGGTTCGCTGCTTTTCCAGCATTGTGGCTCTCACTTGAAGTTTGTTTCTTCAAAGGCTAGATAAGCTTGAGTTCTTGTCCTGTTGTCAAATTTCCCGGTGGTTTTTGCTTCAGAAACTAAGCTTTAAAAAACATTGTAGTCCAACCTTACTTTACCACTATAAACCTATATAGTTGCCCTATTCCACCTAAATGCCTCTTTGATGGTCAGCCTTTCTTTGAGCCTATGCTTCCTTGGGTCATGCCACTAAACAGGCGCCATTTTCAAGATTCTATCCCAAAGAAAATTAATGCAGAGCGGTCGTTTTCATGAATCACTTTCCAGGGAAACATGAACTAATTACCAAAGTACAAAAGAAAAAAAAGGGGGAATTATCTGCTGTTTTCAGTGCCATATGAAGCATCATTGTAGAGCAGATTATCCAACTTTCAGTTGTGTTACATTTATAGAACTACATAATTCAACTTCAGAGTAACAATTCAAGCAGTGCGGAGTATAAGCTTGGCCTCCCCTGCTGGTGATTTTGTACCAGTAATGGCAGTAAGTGTAGGGTTCTTTCTGTTAGTTTGTTCTGAAAGGTTCAAAAAGTAAGCAGAACAAAGTTGACAGATTTGTAATTTTTTTATGCCACTGCATACGAGTTTGTCTTTTCTTTCTGTTAATGAAGATGCATCTATTTTTGTCATTTGTTTGTCTTACTCTAGTGCCCATGATACTACTCTCTGTATAATGCTTTCATTTGAAACATGACATCTTTTGTTAAGAATGGGTGTTATCAAGTACTTAACTTTCTATCGGATAATGTGATCAACTGATCATGGAATGTTGCGTGCATTAGTTAAAATTTAATCTTGAACTATTTTATGCCTTTTTCTGAGTCACTGAATGTTTCTACAGAAAATGCTGAAGTGGCTAATGACAAATTGCTTGGAGGACTTCTTCCCTCTGGAATTGATGAAGCATCCTGCTTAAGCAGATACCAATCCTTCATGTATCGGAAGACATCATCTTTCAAGCCTTCAACTTATCTTATCTCTAAACTACGGAAGTATGAAGAGCTTCACAAACGATGTGGACCTGGTACACAACCGTACAATGAAGCTCTGAAACAACTGAAGTCTGGCAACGAAACTGCTGTGCCTACAGAATGTAACTACGTTGTGTGGATGTCATACAGTGGCTTGGGCAATAGAATTTTGACTGTGAGTGCAGCTTATCTTTATGCTCTTCTCTCAAACCGGGTACTTCTAGTTGACCCAGGAACTGATATGACTGATCTTTTTTGTGAGCCGTTTCCTAGCATCTCATGGTTTTTACCTCAAGACTTCCCATTATATAAAAAATTTGAGAATTTCAACCAGAAATCTTCCAGGTGTCATGGGTTTATGCTGAAAAAGAATCTTCTGAATGCCACAAATGCCTCAACTGAAGAGGTACCACCATATTTGTATCTTCATCTGGGTCATGACTATAATGATCACGACAAACTTTTCTTCTGTGATGAAGATCAAACTCTTCTCAACAAAGTTCCATGGCTAATAATGAGGACCGACAACTACTTTGTCCCTTCCCTTTATTTGATCCCATCATTTGAGGAAGAACTATTTAAATTATTTCCTGAAAAAGTAGCCATTTTTCACCACCTAGGGCGCTATCTTCTCCACCCTACAAATGAAGTTTGGGGGTTGATTACAAGGTATTATAATGCTTACTTAGCCAGGGCAGATGAGAGGATTGGAATCCAGATCAGGACGTTTGAGGAGGGACCAGGTCCGTTCCCACATGTAAATGACCAAATTCTGTCCTGCATATCCAAGGAAAAATTACTCCCTGAAGTTGACAAAGATGATTTATCTTTTAGTTCATCAAAGAACCCGAGGTCCATTGCTGTTCTTGTTACATCCTTGGATGCAGGTTACAGCGACTCTCTAAGAGAATTATATTGGGAACATCCAACTGTTACTGGAGAAGCGGTTGGAATTTTCCAACCAAGCCACGAAGGGTTTCAGCAATCACACAAGAAAAATCATAACAGAAAAGCCTGGGCAGAAATGTATCTGCTAAGTTTGAGCGATAAATTGGTGACAAGCGCGTGGTCAACTTTCGGGTATGTTGCTCAAGGTTTCGGAGGATTGAAACCATGGATTTTGTACAAGCCAGAGGATAAGAAGACCCCAAACCCAGCTTGTGGTCGTGCCATGTCTATCGAGCCTTGCTTCCATGCTCCTCCTTTTTGGGATTGCAAGGCAAAGACAGGTATTGATACTGGTAAGCTCGTACCTCATGTAAGGCATTGCGAGGATATCAGTTGGGGTCTTAAGGTGGTTGATGGTCGTGAAGAGCTATAGGTCAGATTTAGGTAGTTGAATACTAGTCAGTGTTGAATTATTTTCGAGAATGAATTGCTTCGTATCAAACCTTGTGACCATGGAACTCTGTGTATGTACAAATTTGCCATTTCAGTAGATATATTTGTGCATGTACTGTCGCGCGTAAACATGGTTAAACATGGGCATGGATGATAGACTGATGCGTCTGATTGAGCTCTTATAAGCAGCAGAGGGAAAGGAGCAAAATGTATCCCTGAAATGCTCAGGAAATTGTCATTGAAAAAGCAATCATGAGCTACTGAGGTACTCCGCTTACTGTACCAAAGCGTATCTGCTGCTACTTTTTATGACATCGGGCGTGTACTTTTTTGGCACCTGATCTGTACTGGAACAATCATCTGTTTGAAATAAAGTGATTAAAAGATAGATTTGTACTTCGTACTATGTTTTTGTGACCAAAATTTCTGTAGTTCTTTAGTATACTACTCCGTACTGTACTGTTTAGAATTAGTTGCCCCCATATTGACTTTTTGCATTATTCATATATGGAGTATCAACTTTGACCCTACCATTATAATGATATACTTCCTCTATTTTCTTTTATTTGAATCACACCTTCACGGGATACACTTTGAGGAAGAGTTTATGTAATGCAGATGAATAAACCAAAATTATTTATACACGTAGTATCTAATCCTTTTCTATTTTTGGTGTTAAAATTATTTTGATAAAGTCGCTCATTTACTTACTTTAATCAACTCTTTAGAAAGTGTGTTTAAAGGTTGTGTAGTATATTGCAAATAAAAGAAAATAGAGAAAGTATAATATAATCAATTTTATTAAATGAAAAGTTGTTGGATTAGAATTAATGCCTATGTTCCCAACTATCCAAAATTATTTACAATGGCATAATAGATAATTAATGATATTAATGACTAAAAGTTGTGTACAAGTAATTGTAAAAGTCATATTCTACGTATTACAACTGTTTCTAAATGAAGTAATATAACTTTCCAACCAAATATAATTTTTATTTTTGAACCTAAAAAAAAATGAATTAATGGGGTTTTCTATGTAGTGTGCTTGTATCCTTATCAATTTTGGGTTTGAACCCTTGCCTCTACCCAATGTTTTTACGGAGTAAAAATTATGGAGTAAGTGGACAAATCACACCCTTTTGCAATGTTTTTATATAAATGGAGGTTGACAAAACCTAACTATACCATGACTCGCTCCTCATCGCAACAACCACCACAACCCGCCTTTCTGTTTTCTCTTCACATCTCTCTCTTCAATTCACTCATTCCTAACTCACCTCGATTTATCTGGGTTAACCATTTACGAAGACAAAGCAAGATCCGGTGAAAGAGAGGGAGACGGCAGTTGAACGAAGTGCCAAAGTGAGGAGAGAGATAATCGAAGAAGAGAATGTCGTACATGAAGGGTGATCTTCTCACTAAAACCAGAAAGCTGGTTAAGGGTCTCGCTAAAACCGAGCCCCTTTGGCTTAAACCCATGCAAAAGTTAGTTTGTTCAAAATTAATGCTTCGTGTTAAATTTTTGTTCTTTGATGCATTTCTCGATTTCCCAATTTTTGATTTTCTGTATTTTGTTGCTAAATTGTAGTCTCATAAACCCTAGGTAGTATAAGGTTTAATTTTCGCCGTTTTTGGATTGATTAATTGATTGAATCTCATAGTATTCTCTAATTGTTTGGTGATTTGAATGCTTTTCTTTCTTGTTAATTGCTGCCTTTATATGGTATTTGATCAGTTGATGCATTTCGTAGTTACCCATTTGTCAATTTTAGGTTGTTCACATTGATGGGTGTTGTTGATTTTCATTGTATTTGGAATTTGGCATTAAAGGTTAAACTTTGCTATCTTATCTATGCTTTAGTTTAGGGAACTTTAAGAATTAGTTGATTGAAGTTTATCGAAATCGAAAGTGGCTGGGGAAATTTTGAGGTGTTTTTACAATTTGTGAACTTTTTTCAAGAGTGAGCAGAGATAAATTAGGTTTTTGTAGTGTGTAATGGAGAATTGGAGATGAATCCCTAGTTAGGAAATTATGTGCATCTTTGATGTTGGAAAGAGTGGAAATAGCTTGTAATTTGAGTCTAAGGAGATTCAATTTGGGCAAAGAAAGCTTTCGTTGTACACGTATGCAAAATTCTTATAAGAGCTGGATTCAGTTCGTAATTTTGGTGTAATTTGGAGTGTTCATGCATCATGATTGGTGGTTTATGAGGTGCCGATACCCAGTTGAAGGTGCCTTTTTGGGACTGAAGGGTGCTTCTTTGTGATATCAATTATGCCGCATGGGAGTTCTGCCCTCTATTTCTAGAACATTTAAACCAAGATATAGGCTTGATGGATATGTCTGAATTAAATTATAATATCTAAATGGTGGTCTTGTGTTTCAATTAGTTATATGATGATTGATGAAATACCTATAATAAGTTTTGCCTTAGGGTTCTTCTTCAATATTCAAATTTACATGACCATCACTACCTGTTTGGTGTTTGGAGGTTAAAAATTATATGGAAAATCACTTGCGGTCAATCCGTAAATTGTGCTTCATGAATGTTCCCTGTGAAACATACTTAAATTCTTCGGGTTTGGAAAATATAATTTGGAGTTTTGACTGTCCACTCTTCTAGTGTATGATGTGCTGGTCTCCTCGTGTTTCTAGTATTTGATCTCTACTTCATGCTCAATCTATAAATTTAAAGTCTTAGTCTTTTCAGATTATTCTGTATCGTTTGAAATTTGATTACTCTCACTTGTGTTGTCTAGGGCCCCTCCTGTTGTGTTTCCTCGTTCTGATGGAAAAGTGAAGCCAATCAGCCTTCCTGAGGATGTTTATGTAAATAAATTCTACCAGAAGCATCCAGAGTCAAAATATGAAGATCCTATCAAGTATGTCTTTTTCCATAACTTTAATTTTTCTTCTTTGTACTTTTATTAGATATGGTCATGGATCCCAGTTTTTGTTGTCCATATCAAGCTAATATGTTTGTATTATGTTCAAGCACTTGAATGTGTAATGAAATTATTACAGAAAAAGAATTACAGGTGTTGTGTTTCTAAAATTTTTTATTTTGAATTTTGAAGATACTGTAACATGATCAGTTTTCTAAAATTTTGTTACTTTTGAAATTAAAGCTTCCTGTTTTTTAGCACGAGCAGCTTGCTGCTTACAGACAGTATTTGTCCCCCCCTCCCCCCCCCCCCGCAAAATCATTCAATGTGGTCTCGTGAGTCATGGCTTGTCATATGAAGCAGTTGTACTGTGCCAAGAAGTTGATATTTCTAAATTCTAGATGACTTAAAACATTACTTATTACACTGGAATAATGCTTAAACAAGATATTGTATATGTGAGTGGTAAATGGTACTCATTGACGCTGTTGTTGGCTGTAAAGTTGTTTATGCTTGAATCTTCTTTTTCAGTATGTAGACTATTAGACAGGTATTGTTAATGATACTCCAATGCAATGTTTACTGCTTGGCAGAATCAAGCAAATGATAAAACACCAAGACCAGCTATGTTCTATCATGAGACAAAGTTTTGTTGGTTTGGTTTATGACTTTTCTTCATTTTGAGCAGGTTTAATAGTTTCAGTCCTGTTCCAGCCCGTATTTTTGCTGGGCGAGTACTCGAATTGAAGGAGCAAGGAGTAAGAGAGGAACAAGCGTTGGCCATAGCTGATGTATGGGAGACTGTATATTTAGTTTTTAATCTCCTTATTTGTTTCAGTCCTTCATGCCATATAGGCATATACTACTCAATTATCTTCATAGTTCTACTATCATCCTTAATAAAAAGGCTGCAATTGAGCTTTGTGCTAAATTAAAATCAACTTTGGCCATTAATTTTGTCATTCCATTGTAAAATTTCTCCATCCCATACACAAACTCAATATCAATTTTGACAATTTTGCAGTCAAAGTTGGTACGTTATCACTTTAAAGTAAAATATGACCTAATATCTGTGGAGGGACATAGTACTTCTGCCTTCATTATCTTTTTTGATCTCATAAGCTGACTTTACTATTTGCTCCAGATGGAATATCGAGGAGAGAAGAAATCCAAAAGGCAGGCGTACAAGCGTTTAAGGCAAATAGCTCACATTCAGGGACAAAACCACCCCCTAATCCATACCCAAGTGCTATTAAGGAGATACAGGCAGAGGAGCGACCTCATGTCCGTGACCGATTTTTCAATCCTCATATATTAGAGATAGCTAAGAAGCTAAAAGAAGAAAGAGCTGCTGATATGCGGGAAAGGTTTGGAGGGCGAGGCGCTTAGTTCTTGAAAAAGTAATTTGAATCAATCAAAAACTAGAGCAGCCTTGCTTTATCTTGCCAAGAGTTTGCACCTTTTCTTTTGCTCCATTCGTATGCATTTGGTTTTCCATTATTGTTACATGATTTGCTTGGTCACGTTTGCTGAATTAGAATCATAAATCAAATTGATTTTTGTTTAGAGATTGAGTTGTAGAGTTTAGAAAACAAATATCAGAATTTTTACGATTTTTCTCATCGAATGCTAATTGCTAATAAATCAGAATTCTCCTGAACTCCCATTTGGTGCTACTATATCCCTGTATTACAGCTTCCAGAGTTCTTAATTCTTCAGCTTTAAAGTTGTTTATTTCTTCCATCTTTTAATTTCAATTTATAGAGCAATTTGGTTGCCTATGTCTTCTTTTAAGTACTGAAACAGGAGGGAAAAAAAGTGCTTTCGGCTGCTGTTATGTAATATGGTCTTGGATTGTCTAAAATTCCTCCTTTTGTATGTATATTGAGATAACTGGAATTAATTCTCTATTATAAAGCACACTTATTTTTTTGTATCTGTTGATTAAAGTAGATAATGCAAGCAGCCCCTTTGAAAAATTGGAATTGGTACAATCATCTATTTGATACTTGTTGAATACTTTTAGTTTGGGATAAGTTAAATTAAAAGGGGAAAGATAGAAGAATTTGGAATCCCACATAAACCAAATGGCTTATAGAAATGACCAAAATCTTAATATCCCCAGCTCCACCATGAACCACAAATATAATTGACAGTCTGCAATGACAAGCTGATGTGTCACAATCTGAGTGGCTATTAATCCCTATTTGTATCTTCCTCAATTCTCTCTCTTCAAACCATCTATCAATCATTCCAAGATTTCTAAACCTGGTTTGCAGCATGAAAGCCATTAACTTCCCAAAACCCAGCAACAATACACTCAACTTAACTACTCCAATTTCCTCTAAAAATCCCACCTTTATCACTTCATATTATCCCCATTTTTCTAAATCCTTGATATACCCTTCACTCTTACTTCCTCTCTGCTCCAAAAATCCCAACATAATTGGTGAAAATCCAAGTCCCAATTCTAATTCCAATGTAGAATTTGGTTCTAACACAAATGAGATTGACCCGGAAAAAACCCCACCCAAACCCATTTCTAGTTCAAGTATTAACCCTTCAACATCATCATCTAGGGGCTTAATCTTTGATCTTGGTCAAACTGGATGTTGGGATAGTGCTGAGGTTGGTTCCCCCGTTGTGAAAAGATTTTTGAGTGATGATGAAGAGAGGTGGTATATGTGGTACTATGGTAAGTCAGATAACGAGTCGGGTTCGGGTTCAATTGGGTTGGCGGTTTCGAGCAATGGGGTGCATTGGGAAAGGGGAGATCAGGCTATGGATTCGAGTTCCGGAACTGGGATGGTGATGACTTGTGGTGAAGATTGGTGGGCATTTGATACAAAAAGTGTTAGGCCTTGTGAGGTTATGATCATGTCTAGTAATAAAGTTAGAGCTTCAATGGCTGTTTACTGGCTTTACTACTCTGGTTTGTGTTCTGAGGAGGTGGAGTTCCCACAAGATTACAGTCTCCAAATTACTGAAGCTGCAAAAGGGGTTGGGTTTGGGTTCGAGTTTGGGTTTGGGAGAGTTTTTAAGTCATTGCCAGGGTTAGCCATAAGCCAAGATGGAAGACATTGGGCTAGAATTGAAGGTGATCATCACAGTGGAGCATTATTTGATGTGGGAGCAAAAGGGGAATGGGATTCTTTGTTCATTGCTTCCCCACATGTTGTTTTCCATAGTAGTGGAGATTTGAGAATGTACTATCATTCCTTTGATGCTCGAGAAAAGAAATTCGGTATCGGTATTGCAAGATCAAGAGATGGGATTAAGTGGGTGAAGCTAGGCAAGATTAAGAGTATAGGACTAGGGGGAAGTAGTGAGGGGTGTTTTGATGAAATGGGGGTTGTGAATGCTAGTGTGGTAAGAAATAACAAAGTAGGGAATTATTTGATGGCATATGAAGGTGTTGCCAGGGATGGGAAGAGTAGTATTGGGCTGGCGGTATCGAAGGATGGATTGACTGATTGGAGACCGGTGAGCGAAAAGGCGGTTTTGATGGCGGCTTCGGAGGGTGGATGGGATAGCAATGGAGTTGGATCTCCATGTTTGGTTCAAATGGATGGAAATGATGATCAATGGAGGTTGTATTATACTGGACTTGGTGTACAAAGTAGGACTGGAATTGGGTTGGCTGTTTCTCAAGGAAGTGATTATACAAGTTTTAAAAGATGGACAGGGTTTCACTTATGATTAATAAATAGAAATAGGGTTAGTGTGAATTGTGTGATAGAGATCCCAAATCATAAGCATTTAGCTGAATATTTGATGTAAAAAATTCGTGGTCCGTTATTAATTTATGTGCTTTCTGAATATTGGTTGTCCTTAATATTATAATATCGAGGTTCTTACATGACAATATTTTTTGTTGGCAATTTACAAAAGTAATTACTCCGTACTCTTTACCCCAAAATTTTCAAAGAGTACGTGTTTACGGGTTTACTCCTACTCACCTCAACAAATATTGATTAGGAACCAATAAAAAGCTCCTGACACTTGGGAGCTCTATGCAATCAAACATGAATCAAAAGGATCTCAACACGAAATAATTTTTTGTATAAATATGTTTGGCACTTGACAGGACTAAAATCAAGGAAGCTCTGCCTAATTTCCTCATAGAATACAGACTGTCTTCATCAAAAAAAATCATAAGAATTTTTGCATAAGAAACTGTCAAAATTTATGGAAGACTAAACATCAGAAAGAAGAGAGACCTGCAACCTGCCTGAATTTCTCGTATGAGACCCAAAACATAAACTGCCAGGGACCAAGCCTTGCCCACGTGGGAAAAAACCCCTTCCATAATGCCTTTGGTCCTTCAAGCTTTACTGTCTTCGCCAAACAATCATAAGAATTTCTGTACATCAGTTTACCATCCTCACTTGCTGCTTGATTCATCATTCTAGTCTTTACTACATCAGCTGGACAGCTCAAGGTTGTAGCTGCGAGGCCTGACATGATAGAAGCTAGGGTATGAGCATATATGTTGTCATCGGCTATCTGATTCCTAATAACAAAATGCTTTGCATGATCGTAGCATGCCAATTCCCCCATGTTTACCAAAAATGCTCTTTGCATGTTCGGGACAACCCCTTTCCAAAGTCCAGGAAAACCCTCGTTAGAAATGATCTTGCGAAAGGCATCTATAGGACCAGAGTATCTGGGCTGCAGACCTTGACAGATTAGATGACCATCTGCTTGCATTCTAACCTTAACTAGATCAGCTGGGCTTGCCACCACCTGCACACCTAGGGGCATGAACAATGATGTTGAAAGATTATGAAAGCATAAATAAGAGACAACAACAAAGAAATTAAGCAATCAGCTCACTGGTCACAAATTTGCATGTGTTGAATTTCATCGACAATTAATTATTAAATTTATTACTTGCTCAAGATAAGTCTTCAGTGAGTCACCAAGTTACCAACCAGCAGCAAAAGTTATCTAGGTTTGGTCCTAAACACTGAGCTTCAGGTTTACAACTTCAACCAGTATTCTGATGACATCTAAAGCCCTTAAACCCAAGGCTGCCATGTAAACCAAACTCTCTCAGTGGAGAAGAGAAAAGCATCTCCAGCATACCTACCTTGTACGCAATATTCAAAGTACCATAACTTTGAAAATGTGTCTGATGAACTTGTTAGTTCCCAAAGCTTATAAATATTTATGATCCAGTCAAGTCCAGAAGCAATCACATACAGTAAAAGTTCTACAAGAGTACAAGGAAACTTCTTCTGGAAAAGTCATCACGTAGAGGCAGAAGAAATGAACAAAGCAGCACAATAAGAGACCAAATCCAAGAGTACATACTTCGTATTTCTTAGCATTCTTTCACTAAACAATTCTAATTAACGTAAGTGCCTCGTTTTAGGGGTCATTTTGCGTTTACGTTAGTTTTTAATACACAAAACGAGATACGTGAATTTTTTTGCCAATTCCAAGCTCAATTTGGAACCTTAAGTGCTAATAAAATAGGACATTTTTTGGCCCGCAAATCGAAAATAAAATAGGATTGGATGGCAATCAACAAGTTAGTAGCACTTTTGGGCTGTAATTTGCAATTTTTTTCTTAAAATGGCTGCAATTTGCAAAATACATACTTGAAATGGCCAACTTAATCCAACTACAAAACTAAGCTGCACCCCGCCCAAAATTTCCCAAGTTAACTTGAGCAAGAAAACACATACGAAGTACACAAGAGGGCTAATGCAATTTTCGAGGCACAGTGAGGCACTGATTTCAACAGTTGAAGTTATATTCATTCATACAAAGAATTATTGTTATATGTTCAAAATATAAAACTCATTGATAATAGTTATATGTTACAATACCATCATAGAAAATATTGACATTTCTATACCTATAATTAATCTTTATAAAAACCACAGTAAGAAAGCTTCTTAGAGACGCCCTTAAAAAACATATTCTTCCAATGTTAAAGTTTTAGAAGGAAAATGCAAGCTCATTCCCTTCCTCAAACTTCTTTCCCTTACGCATCCATTAAACACATGATTAGATTTGCAACTGGTTCATCACGCTGTCCTTTTTCAAACAATGAGCACCACAATTCATGATCCCGAAGAAGTTATTGAATCATTTAGCATCCTAAGATGAAAGTCTCACTTGGTTGGCATGCTCCTTCCAAATCAATACAAATGGTAACTTTTATCAACCATCATGGAAGCTATATAGGTAAAAACTATACTCATACCTAGGTCCCTAATAATTCATTGGTTATACACTTATGCACGGTAGCCATAGTTTATTATACATGAGAAATAATTCTGACATAAGAGGAAGTCATTGGTGGGGATAATAGCTAGGATGAACCGAGACTCATTTAAAAGGCAATATATAGAAGAAATGAAATAGAGTGAGCAGAACATGACTTCCATACACCTATAAAGCAGAGCAAATTAACAAAAGAGTGATGCATAAAAGCGAACACTGATGAAATATTTTCATGGATGAAAAGCCTACCCAAGGGCAATATTCTCCTTGAATTTGTGTTTTGCTCACGACTCCTTCAGAAAAACAAAACCCATATTTTTTTAATTTGAGTACAACACCCTCCACAATACAACTGCTATCTTAACTTCCTCATTGTGAATCGATTAACTACAGAGAATTCAAAAAAGAAAAAAATGCTATCACCCAAAATCCAAACAAGTAGATAGATAACAATTACCAACCCAAATTACACAAGTTTTTCATCATTTCTCCAAATTTTCGATTTACAACAACAGCGTAGAACGGAATATCATTTTTTTTTCCCTCCCATTTCTAAATTGCAATACTATCTCATCATTCCAACATCACTCTTGAACCATTATAAAAAATCAAACTACACCATCACATAACTGATACTCAAATCATACAAGTTGCCCAAAAATTCCACCTTTGATGTTGTTTTGGTTAAGTAAGCAAGCATTATATTAAAACCAAAAATTATGTACAAAATTAGGGGGAAAATCCACTAAATCCCTTTCAAAACAAGCTCAAATTTCACCACAAAAAAAAAAAAAAAACAAAATAGTAAAAACATCATATAGCTTAAAAAAATTCTCCCCAACCCAGATCATTAATCAACTCAATCAATCAAGATAAGTAATTTTTAAAAAGCAAGAAAGTATAAATATTTATACCTGAGCAATAACCCCAGATAAACCTCCAACAAGAGCTTTGGAGGAGAGAGAAAGAGACCCAGAAACAGCATCAGAATGTTGATTCTGAGCAACAAGAACAGCATTTCTCAAATATTCATAACCCACAATTCGAATAGGAGTATAGAAGAGGTGGCGAATAATAGCAGGGGATAAACCTTGGTATAAACCCAGAAAACCCTCGTTTCTTACAATGTTAATAGCCACTTTGAAGGCGTTTGTTGCGGCGGAGGAGGCGGTGGATGAGGCGTGGAGTTGGAGTCTGGTCTTGGTTATGTCGATTGGAAAGGTGGTTGACTCGGCTACCATGGCCGAGAGGGAGGTCAAAAGGATCTTCTTGTGGGTGGGGTCTTGGCCTTGAGTCAGTTTCATGGTCGATCATATGCACCAAAACAAAATTGTTGTCTACTTACGCTATCAAGGGAAGCCTAGGTCGATCGGGTTGTTAATGTGTGTGCGCGTTTGATGCTGATTGAGTGTTGTTTTAAAATGGGCGCATAGTGAATATTGTGCGCTCAAATGTATAAACAAAGAGTTGTATATTCAGCAATTGTGATTGTATATGTCAAAATCAACTATATACAAAGTATATTTTTAAAAAGAATTTCGTCAAATTTACAGTCAAAAAATAATTATATAAACCATACATTCAATCGTTTTGACGGTCTATACTACCACCATTTCTGATTGATCTTAACATTTACTATTAGCACAAAGATTAATAAAATAGAATAGGGTGTTAAATGGAGTTTATTTTTGGAGGGCGTAGTGAGTATGATACATCAAACACTAGTTTCAGGGGGAGAAAAAAAATAAGTGAATCCTTAGACATAGGTGAAAGCTCCAACATTTTGCAAGTATAGAATCAGCCAATTATTAGAGATGAAAGGATGGCTAAATACATCATACATTTGTTTCTCTTCTATTGCATTTGATCTATATATCCCATCCCATAGTTCTTTACGCACCAACATAAAGTAAAGGAATCATGCTATGTTTATTTATAAGTTACTAATACAAGGGGGTGGGACTGGGAGTGGGAGAATGGGACATTCTCCACAATAGTCATCCAAGTGTCTTCGTACTATACATGCCGCGGGTAAAGTAGATTAGCATCAAAAGAAAAGATGAACATGTTGGACCCACTTGATCAACAAAAGAGCACCACAAATCATAAGCTCATAAGACGATCCATGACCAATTTGACCACTTCTGGAGCATCAACTGTGACTGCCACCTTAACTGTAGGTTTATCGGTCCATTCAGTCACTTCTTCAAACCTATCAGATCCAGAAGCAAGTGTTAAGCATGGAAACAGAGACATGTGCAATTGAATTTATCAGGAGAAGGAAAATGCAGTAATAATATAGAAGTCGGATATGATCACTAGATGAAGCAGTTTGAGAAAAGTTGTTGAGACAGAAAAGAAGCTACTTTTATTCATACTATTTTTACTTTGACATATACAAGTGAAATAGTAACTATAGATTGGGACTGCTATAATGGCTTACCTTTTCTGTTTGTTATACAGTATTGTGAGACCCCTAGTAATACCACTTGTTTGCACTCTTACGGCACCATCTGTCCAAGTAAATAATGAAGGATCTATAGCAGCGAGGATGGAGGCAGGATCATGAAGATAAACACCTGCATAAAAAACAATTAACAGCTACTCGAATAAAAAATAAATTAA